GCGGCCGCCACTACTGCTGGGAGAAGCTGCGGTGGGCGGAGCTGGACCTGGAGCGCGTGCGCCTGGTGGGCGGGGCCTCGGGGGGCGGGGCCTGGGGGCGGGGCTATGGGGCTCCGTGGGGATCTATGGGGCTGGGGGTGCCCCCGTGCCAATGGGACCCAGTGGGTCCCTGTAGACCCCGTAGCTCCCAGTCGATCCCAGTGGACCCCAATGGATCCTAATGGGCCCTTATAGACCCCATGGATCCCAATAGAACCCAGTGGGAGCCAGTGGATCCTAATAGATCCCTATAGCCCCTGTGGCACCCAGTGGGTCCCTGTAGACCCCAGTGAGACCCAGTGGGTCCCTGTAGACCCCATGGAACCCCAGAGAACCCAATAGGACACGATGGAACCCAGTGGAACGCAGTGGGACCCAATGGATCCCAGTTGATCCCAGTGAGTCCCATCGAACCCAGTGGGTCCCAGTGGATCCCATGGATCCCAATGGAACCCAGTGGGACTCAAGGGGTCCCTAGAGACCCCATGGATCCCAATGAGACCCAGTGGGCCCCAGTGTGTCACCATAGATCCCATGGGTCCCAGTGGATCCTGGTTGATCCCATGGATTCCAGTGGGTCCCAGTTGATCCCATGAATTCCAGTGGGTCCCTATAGACCCCGTAGACCCCAGTGGGAGCCAGTGGGTCCCTGTAGACCCCATGGAACCCGATAGACCCCAGTGGGAGCCAGTGGGACCCGATGGACCCCATGGCTCCCGGCGGCTCCCAGGTGATGCCGGCGGCTCCCAGGTGATGCCGGCGGCTCTCCCCGCAGTGGTACAAGCTGGACGAGCTGTTCGAGCAGGAGCGCAACGTGCGGGCGGCCATGACGAACCGGGCGGGGCTGCTGGCCCTCATGCTGCACCAGACCATCCAGCACGACCCGCTGACGCCGGATCTGCGCTCGCCCGGCGCCGCCGCCGCCGCCCCCATCGGCATCGGCGCCGCGGCGGGAATGGGCGCGCACGAGCCGCCCGGCGCCGCCCACTGACACCCGCAACGGGAGTGCGAGTGGGATCCGCGTCCGGGTTGGGAATGGGATCCGGAATGGGAGTGGGATCTTGGACCCGGAATGGGGCCGGGAATGGGATCCGGATCTGGATTGGGAATGGGATCGGGAATGGGAATGGGATCTTGGACCTGGAATGGGGCCGGGAATGGGATC